CTGACTCGCAGTCCACTTATCAGCCAAATAACGCACAACACACACAGGGCTGATGGCGTGTCCGGTAAATGCGTTAGCTGGCTACGAGACCGAAATAAACGGCCGGAGTCAAATTTATTGACTCATAGAATAGGCGGGACAGGCTTTGAATGTGAGCAACAGCTAGCGCAACCTGCTTAGTACTCAGAACACTCCTAATGGCAGCCTATGGGTTTTAGAACCTCGTGCATCCAAAATACTTTTTTGTGTGAAACGAATTTTCTCGAGAGGATGAATTACCTCACGGTCTGCAAAGCTCTTAACTGTTGAAGCGATGTCAAGTTTGCGAACCACGCCATATTTGTAATTTTCGAATGACTCTCTCAAATATTTTGGCATCGCAAACATACGGTAATTAATATACTTTTCAAACTGCCAATTCCCTCTTTTCTTATTTTCACGGAGATGCTGTACTCCTCAGAATGTATTTTCCAGCACACACGCATGTATGTTTTCATTTTTGGATAAGAAGGTATTCTGAATATTGTCAAGTATTTGAATGTATTAGACGAATCTGTCTGTTTGTAAGGTGGATTTAAGTAATGACAGGTAAAAACAAGTCAGAAATTGATGTTTGAACTTGCGGAAGAATCCATAGATTTTGGATAAGAAGGTATTCTGAATATTGTCAAGTATTCGAATGTATTAGACGAATCTGTCTGTTTGTAAGGTGGATTTAAGTAATGAGAGGTAAAAAAATCAGAAATTGGTGCTTGAACTTGCGGAAGAATCCATAGATTACATAAGTTTGAGATTATAATAAATATTCTGAATAATAAGAAGAAAATTCAATCGCTGGAACAATACGTTTACTGGCCTAATGTTTCGGTTTATCCCTCGAATTCATCGTAAATGCATTGGTCCCCTTTTCTTTAAATGTCTCCGATGATGGGTTCGAAAAGAATTCGAAACACCAAGCCAATAATTGTATTGCTCCAACGATCACATCTTCTTTATCTGAACTGCTTCGCTTATACCAATACTCAATGCAGATGATTATTTGAACCGAGAGAGTAAAAGCCTAATGATCAAGAGCAGTTATTCAGTAGTAATTATACTCCTACTTGAACTACCTTTCGCGAGAAATTACCTTCTTCAAAACTTTAACAGGTGCTTGTATGACAGAAATCCCATGAAGCGCAATGCAGATCCAGTTCTGAGGTGAGCCTATCATTTTACAATGTAATACGTGCTTTTACCCTTAACTGGAGCCTTGTTTGGGAGCAGAGCCGAATTATCATTTAGCTGGGAAAATGAGGCCAGATATATATCCCAGCAAAATGCTTAAAAACCCCAACTTGTGAATTTTGTTTAAACATAACGTATTCCTTCCACTGTTTGTTTATTTGAGAGATGTACGTTTGAACAAAAGTCTTGTTAGTAAGTCTTGTTAGTAATTCTTGTTAGAAAAAGCAGTTTACAGCAAATTCCCGTTTCTTGGCGTCCTCGCATAGCGGAAGACATACAGGATATTTTAACCATCGGTCTATCACAAAAAAGATCATATGTGGATGTTATCATACACTAAGAGAGAAACCATCCGGTCGCTCACAAGCGGAGTACTATTAACGCCATAAGCAATCGACCAAAAAAGCACTGTTTTAGCGTAATTGCCTGGTCAAACTGTTTTCCAAAAATAGTCATTGTAGATAGTGTTTGCGTCAGAGCATGAGATGACAGGAATTAAAGGAAAATGAAAAGGAACTAGACTGTTCCAATCAGGCTCCCAAACTAAAAAGCTGGCGAACACTTCCACACACTAAACATGTGTCTGATCTCGTTGAAAGACATTTGAGGAAGTACTAAATCCAAATGACGCATAAACCAACGGCTACACTTCGAAATCAACTCGTGCCTATTTGGGCAGAAAAGGAGTCGAGTAGAAGCAAATATGTGTGTCGTTTACAAGGTTCTCTGTCGCAATTGCGATGCAGTTTATTGTGGTCAAACGGAAAAATCGGCCTCTACACGTGCAAACAAACACCAATTGGCAGGAAATCGGCTAGACTGTTGCCCCAAGTTGCCATGCATAAATTAGAAACTGGACACAGCTGTTGGCCGAAATGACTAGGCATTATTGATTTTTTCAGGCAAGTTTAAAATCTAATTGTTCTGTACGCCCATTACACGTCTGACGATGGCCTAGGTAATCAGTGCCGAAGATTTGCACAACAGAGTTTGTTATCGTTTCCCAAAGAACTTCTTCCATTGAGATGCATGGGGTATTGACTGAGAAGAAGACGATTCGATCGCCGGGACAACACTTTTATTCGCTTGACCTTTCGATATCCGGCGCGGATCCATCATCAGAGACATAAGCAGAAAGCAATAGTAGAAAAGGGTACTGGCTGTTACTCCCTCCTGGTCCCTATACGATTGCCTGTCAAGGTTCCAGGTACAGTCTCAGGGAATAAGCAAACGACCATCTTCCATGAACTCATCGGTCTATGATCCCCTCGGGATAATGTATACCTACACTAAATAGCATAATCGTCAAGGCTCAATGTCCAGATTCCCACTCGAAAGCTAGCATGATGGGAAGGCTGAGCTAACTACCGTGGCTGCAAGTTTTGCACCCCCTAATTACGGAAGTGAATTCAAAACAGTCAAGGTTACTGCATGTCAGGACAGTGATAATGCAAGTGCGTTCACCAAAAAGCCTCCAGATCGGCCGACAAACCAGTCCTGCGCTGGTGACGGTAGCGACGTCGCCAGACGCTGGGTTTTGGTCCAATCGATCGCACGCATCGCCAGTGACCTTTCGAAATGCCCCAAACAAGCACGCACACATGCACGCGCGCACAGTCCGCTGGCTGCA